TACTATGGCATCACCGGAATTTATACTTTAATATACATATTAGTTCAATTAAGAATTATTGGCCTCCAGTCATTCAAAATATATTAATTATTGAGAATAACATGTTTTTCTTACTCAGAGGAATTTGTGATTCAAGACTGGGGCATGGATTATTTGACTTGGACAATACTAACTGTACTTGTGAGGGTTTGCACTCAACATTAATCCAATCTCCTTCCTTTGTTCTAACCTCCAAGCCAGCGACATCATGCTGAACAACAATGGTGGTGAAATTCATATATGTGTGGCTTGGAAACCTTACGATAGTATCGTTGTCCTCTGCTACTGTATATTTGATGAATCTAAGAAGGTGACCGTTGGAACTACCAACCGGCCACTATGTTATATCTTAATATAATTTATTTATATTTTTCTTCAATATTATGTGAGAATTATGTGTATAATACGTAAATTTTGTAAAAAAATGTGTATTAAACATGAAAAATATGTATTTACATGTACAATACGTATTGTACGTTTGCTTTTTAAAAAACGTGAATTTGACCGAGTCTTTAAGACATGTATTATTGAAAAATACATATGTATGTGTGTAATACAAATGCTATACTTACCACATTTTTATCCCACATTTCTATACCACATGATGTGGCATGTCCATATTATATGGAATAATACTAGTCTTACCACATTTTTTATACCACAATTTTATAACACATGATGTGGCAGCTGATGTGTACATACCACATCATGTAAAATACTAGTTTCTGTTTTTCTAATTTTATTTATTAAAATACACTTTATTCATTTAATTGATGTGGCATATGATATGGATATGCCACATCATGTGGTATGGAAATGTGGGATAATAATATGGTAAGTGTAGCATTACTCTATTATATGTCACATCAATTAAATCAAGAGTAATGCTACACTTACCACATTATTATCCCACATTTCTATACCACATGATGTGGCATATGCCACATCAATTAAATGAATGAAGTGTATTTTAATAAATAAAATTAGAAAAATAAAAACTAGTATTTTACATGATGTGGTATATACACATCAGCTGTCACATCATGTGGTATAAAATTGTGGTATAAAAAATGTGGTAAGACTAGTATTATTCTTAAATCAATGAAGTGTATTTTAATTAAGACAATTAGAAAAACAAATACTGGAATAAATCATAAAAGAAAAGAAAATATTAAATAATTTTAATTGATGTGGATGTCCACCTCAGCTGCCACATAAGATGGTATAAGGATGTGGTATACAAATGTGTTAAGAGTAGCATTATTAATACAATATTAAACGTGAAAGTGCTAAATTCTTTCTAGGTAATAACTCTGTTAAAGTAAAAAAAATCAAAAAGAGACAATGGAGACTCGCTCGGGTAATGGTCTAATAGTAATGGATAACGCTCTAAACTACTCATATCGATAAACGAAAATCACAGGAAAAATAAATAAAGAAAAGGGAGTTTCATTAAAACACCCAAAATGAGAGTTGAAATTATAAAAAAAACCCAAGCACTATTTAAACATATAAACACACCCAAAACCCATTATTACACTCACTCAAAATCCATTTATAAATACACCCAAAAAGTTGATTTTGGGTGTGTTTCTATGTTTAAATAGTACTTGGGTTTTTTTATAAATACATGTCTAGGATTGGGTTTATTTATAAATTTGTATAAAGAAAAAGGGTATTTAAAAAGTATAGCCGCGCGGCTATTCTATTTATTAAAAAAATTTAAACCAAAAAGCCCCGTAAAGCCGTGCGGCTATACGATTATTTTAAAAACATTTCAAAAACCGAGTATACCCCAGCGGCTGTACTGTTATATATAAAAAAAAGGATCTGCCTTTCTAATAGCACCACGTGTCAAAAAAGGTATAGCCGACCGGCTATACCCTTTTTAATAATAAACATAAAAACCTAGTATAGCCGTGCGGCTATACTATTGTTAAAAAAATAAAAATAAAACCGATTATAGCCGATCGGCTGTACTATGTATAAAAAAACCAAAAACGTCAAAACAAGAAATAGCCAACCGGCTATACATTTTTTTTGAAAAAAACCGGAGCATAGCCGAACGGCTTTACTATTTAAAAAATGTTATGCATAGCCGATTGGTAAATATATTATATTTGAAAGGTATCGAATGGGGCGCTTTGTGGTGAAGCCCGACTCCACGTTCCCGTATAATACGTAAATTTTGTAAAAAAAATATGTGTATTAAACATGAAAAATACGTATTTACATGTACAAGACAAGTATTGTACGTTTGCTTTTTTAAAATATGAATTTTTCCGAGTCTTTTAAGATGTGTACAGAACACAGATGTATTATTGAAAAATACATACGTACGTGTGTAATACAATATTAAACGTGAAAGTGCTAAATTCTTTATACAGGTAATAACTCTGTAAAAGTAAAAGAAAAAAAAAGAGACAATGGAGACTCGGGTAATGGCCTAATAGTAATGGATAACGCTCTAAACTACTCATATCAATAAACGAAAATCACAAGAAAAAGAAAGAAAAAGAAAAAGGGTATTTAAAGAGTATAGCCGATCGGCTGTACTGTTTATATTTTAAAAAAAGGGATCCGCCTATCTAATAACACCCACGTGTCAAAAAATGTATAGCCGTGCGGCTAAACTATTTTCAAAAAAATAAAAATGAAAACCGGGTATAGCCGACCGGCGGTACTATGTATAAAAAACAAAAAAACCGCTTGTCAAAACAAGTATAGCCGCGCGGCGATACATTTTTTTAATAAAAACCGGAGTATAGCCAAACGGCTATACGTTTAAAAATAATAATAAATAGCGTAGTATAGCCGATCGGCTATACTAAAAGGTATCGAATGCTGCGCTTTGTGGTGAAGGCCAACTCCATGTTCCACCATGCCAAAATAGTACACTTCAACCAAATTCAAGGAAAGACAGAACACCCAACTTGAAATATATTATTCCAGGGATCATATCAGCAATACTCCTGGTGGCCTCTGTATCAATGTTCATACTGCGCATGAAATGGAAAGTGGAAGTTGCAACAGAGACTGCCTCATTACCTCGACTTCTTTGGAGAAGAGTTTCACACCTTGAACTTCTGAGGGCGACGAATGGATTTGATGAAAGCAACTTACTTGGCATTGGTGGTTTTGGCTCAGTATATAAAGGTACAATTTCAAATGGGATAGATGTTGCTGTAAAGGTTTTCAATTTACATCTTGAAGGGGCTTTCAAGAGTTTTGATAGTGAATGTGAAGTGCTGAGCAATATTCGTCACCGAAATCTTATCAAAATCATCAGTTGTTGCAGTCAAATTGATTTCAAAGCCTTAGTACTGCAATACATGCCTAATGTGGGAGCCTTGACAAGTGGTTGTATACTCTCAAAATTCTCCTCTGAATATCCTACGAAGGTTGAATATAATGAGAGATGTTGCGTCGGCATTGGAATACCTTCATCATGGTCATGGTTATTCAGATCAAGGTTGTCCACTCTGATGTGAAGCCAAACAATATACTACTAGATGATGATATGGTTGCACATGTTGCTGATTTTGGCATTGCAAGACTCTTAATTAGGTGGAGGAGATTCTATGACCCAAACCATGACCCTAGCCACAATTGGCGCACATGTTGCTGATTTTGGCATTGCAAGACTCTTAATTAGGTGAAGGAGATTCTATGACCCAAACCATGACCCTAGCCACAATTGGGTATATGGCTCCAGGTGATGTACTATTGTGGTTACTTTTCAACTTCTAATTTTATTTTCATCATATATAACTAAATTGGCATATATAATATGGCAGAGTTTGGAATGGAAGGAATTGTTTCAACAAGAGGGGGATGTGTATAATTTTGGTATTGTAATGATGGAGACATTCACAAAAAGGAAGCCAACAGATGAGATGTTTGTTGGGGAAATGAATTTAAAGAAATGGATTGCAAATTCATTGTTTCCATATGCTGCAATAGTTGAAGTTGTCGATGGCAATTTGCTTGGGACAGAGGAAGATCATGATATTGTGAGCAGGAGGGATTGCTTATCATCCATTATGAGAATTCATAGAGTGTAGGACTTTTCTTTGTCTGGGCTTGAGCTTTCTTTGGTGGTCACACTCAATAAAATCAAGATTAAGTTTTTAAAGGACTGTGGAGGAGTGCATGAATGAAGTTCTTGTAGTGATGATAGAGCATGAAGTTATTGTTGAGAGGGGAGATATTAGATTTGGATTTCCTGTAAGTTCTTTGGCAGTGGAGGTCCTTATCCTCCTATCAAATAATTAAGGATAGGAAAGTAAACATAAAGTTAAGCAGACATTCTGCACATGCAATAAGCAATCCAATCCAATCCACCTGCGTCCCTCTTGTCAAAAATAACGTTGCTGCTGCTGTATATAGCTATAGGCCGAGTAGCAGCGCAACTTACCAACTCAGCCATTGATGAAAAAAAAACCATCAACTTTGCAGCTTAAGAGTCCACGAATCTCTACCATAACCGAGAAGAACAACAGAAGCAGGAGAGAAATAACAGGACCTGGCAGAGCTAGCTTAGCCATTGCTGCTATGTTATACAAAGTAGTCTAATTTCTATGGTTGACTAATTCATGAAGAGGAAGATGGGATATTTGTAGCAGTGCTGCAGAGGAGGACACATAATGATCATGCAAGAACAACTGAGTAACAATCTGATATGCTCCATTACAGTGAGATTGCATATAGGCTGGCATTTGCACTTCTGGGCCACCTGTTACATACAATAAATTGCTTGCCTCAGCATCTTTGGTTTGGTTATAACTTACAACCAAGGTTCAATTAATTCTCCAGTCTTCCCTATCATATAATTCCAAATTCAAGTTAAACAGAAATTTCATAGAGTGTAGGACTTTTCTTTGTCTGGGCTTGAGCTTTCTTTGGTCATGAATTCTCCATTCATGAGTAAATTCAAATACCATTTTCCATTTCAGTCTGATTCAGGCATAGATGCAATCACCAAAACCTGCAACACAAGATCATGAACACTTCAATGGAGAAATTGATGGTAGGAAGCTTAGGCACTGATTCGAGTAGTTTGGATCATTCAAAAAAAATCCTGGCGTAAAGCCGATCGGCTAGACTACTTCGGAAAAGAAAAAAAAAAAATATCGCCGCGCGGCTATGAGTATTTTTTTAATACATTAAAGAAAAGGACCCGCCTAGCGCCTGTAGGGCCACGTCTGAAAACCAGTATCGCCGTGCGGCTATACTTATTTTTATAAAAATGCCCTAATCTAGCCGAACGGCTATATTATTTATAAATCTAAAACAGGGACCCGCGTAGAGCCGGAGCGCCCATGTGTTTAAAAACAGTATAGCCGAGCGGCTATACGATTTCGAAAATGCTATAGCCAATCGGCTACACTATTTGCTAGTAAAGAAATATCAAACCCTTCCTTCAAAATTATAAAATGCCGTATGAGTCCACGAATATGGCAAATCACAAAATTGCACTCTCACCACACACACGTAGGAAACATATGGCTGCACATACGAGAGAGAGAGAGAGAGAGAAAGAGAAGTTTCATGCAAAGTGTGTGAGGGTGGGGAGGAGGGATGGTGATGTGATGGGTTTTGGGTGGGCAGAGGAGGCTGCTGCGCAGTAAGGGTTTAAAGTTGTTAGAAGGGGCGGCAAGAAATGAGAAGAAAATCTGTCAACATATATTAATTCTCTCTCTCTCTCTCTCTCATTGCAGGTGTATATACTGGTAGCAGATGAAAAGCAGAGGCTTCTACAGGAACATACGTAAGCGACCAAGATTATAAAGTTCTGTAGGACAAATCTACATGACTTAAAATGGGTCTGGGTGGCGCTAGGCGTGTCTGGGCGTCACTAGGAGTGTCTGGGCGGCGTTAGGACGGGTCTGGGAGGCGCTAGACGTGTCTGGGGAGAGCTAGGCGGGTCTAGGCGGCGCTAGGCGGGTCTAGGCGGATCTGGGTGCCAGGGCGGGTCTGGTTCTTTTATTTTGTTCTTCAAGCCTACTGCCCAGCGATTTTTCAAATTTATGCACTGCAGGATTGGTCTAGGCGGTGCTGGGAGAGTCTGGGCGGCGCTAGGCGGGTCTGGGTGCCAGGGTGGGTCTGGTTCTTTAGAGTTTAGGGTCTGGGTGCCAGGGCAGGTCTGGTTCTTTTCTTTTGGGCAGACTCAGACATAGATACAATCACCAAATTCATGTTTGCTAAATTCATGTTAAGAAAACATAAGATTTTGCAGTGCATTATATCAAACAAAATGGCTTACTTGGATTAGTGACAACGATAAGGCCAACGCCATTGAAATCACAATTGTAGCGTCCATCGGTCTTATAGGAAAGATTCATGGCAAATGAGGCATGGTTTATGAGGGTATTTGGAAAGTAGCATGAACCATGCTCTTGTATTTCACTGCATTCTTTTAATATTCCACAAGTGAAGTTTATGATGTTCTGTAATGCAGAGTATGGGGTTCCTGGCTTAGGCACACACCAAGTATCCTGCAAACCCAACACAGCATAATAGTAATTAATTAAGTTTAATTAAGCATTTGAAATGATTTTGATATAATTAAGATGATTTGAAATCTTGGTTTAAATTATACTGTTTGGATTTGAGTTACCTCCTTTTCCTGTGGCAGTGGAGGTCCTGATCCTCCTACAAATTTCAAAAGGGAAACTAAAGTTATACAAATATTTTTGCACATGAAAATGTGCAAAACTCATTATAGTTATAGACACATACCACTCACAAATTGGCAGCAGGGATTGTAACCTGCAAAAATGGTGTAGAACCAAAATGTTTAATTTGCTGAAAAAAAAGTCTGAACTTTTGAAACAAATTATTATTATGAAATTGAAGGCCTACTTGGATCTGCCAAGAACCTCCTTTTTCTGTTGCACCAGTTGAGGTTTCTCGCATTAGAATTAGATTTGTATTCTTACAGAAGGATCATGAATTCCCCATTCAATTAATTCCAGTCTTCCCAATCATATAATTCCAAATTCAAGAAACAGAAATTTCAGAGAGTGTAAGACTTTTCTTTGTCTGGGCTTGAGCTTTCATGAATTCTCCATTCATGAGTAAATTCAAATACCATTTTCCTTTTCAGTCTGACTCAGGCATAGATGCAATCACCAAAACCTACAACACATGATCATGAACACTTCAATGGAGAAATTGATGGTAGGGAGCTTAGGCACTGATTCGAGTAGTTTGGATCATTAAAAAAAAAAATTACTTGCGTAAAGCCGACCGGCTATACTAAGGGAAAAAAAGTATAGCCGCTCGGCTTTGTATAGCCGAATGGCTATACTATTTATTAATTTAAGAAAGGGACCCGATGGAGTTTTATGCAAAGGTGTGAGAGGGTGGGGAGGAGGGATGGTGATGCCATTGTTTTTGGGTGGGCGGAGGAGGCTGCTGCGCAGTAAGGGTTTAAAGTTGTTAGAAGGGGCAGCAAAAAATGAGAAGAAAATCTGTCAACATATATTAATTCTCTCTCTCTCTCTCTCTCATTGCAGGTGTATATACTGGTAGCAGCGCTAGGCTGGTCTAGGCGGCGCTAGGCGGCGCTAGGCGGGTCTAGGCGGCGCCAAGCAGGTCTAGGCGGATCTGGGTGCCAGGGTGGGTCTGGTTCTTTTCTTTTGTTCTTTAAGCCTACTGCCTATCGATTCTTCTTTGAAGCCGATATTTCGAGCAAGAACCGTATCAGATGCACCACCTTTTGAACCCAGCAATATTGTGTCATTGTTTTTTCTGGTTCTTTCTTCATGCTACGAATTTGATCACAGAGTGTGCGTAGGTGAGTTTTGGACAGTAGTGAGAGTCTCTTTTCAAGGAGGGTCCAAGCTTCGTATGCTGAAGTGCAAGAGATTAGGAGGGTTTTGATAGAGGGAGATGCGGTTGCTTTTATCCAGCTGAGAACTAATTTGTCCTTGGCATGGGTGGGGTTGATTGAGCCATCCTCAAGCCTTTTAGCAGGGCGATTTTCATTCTTCACGACATCCTCCAAGTCATGGATTTCCAGGACATCAAGAAATTGCGATCTCCAAGAGAGGAAATTGTTACGATCCATAGGTGTATTGAATATGTGGGAGATATTGAAGGAGGTTGGAATTGCGGCTGACATGGAAAGGATAGAATTTTGAGAGGTTTGAGAATTGACAGAAGAAGGGATAGGCGAGCCTTCGTCGATGGCCATAGGAACTGTTGGATCGAGTTTTGAGCGTTAGCCCCTGTAAAGCTCTGATACCATGTAGAAAAATAGACAAGAGAGAAGTTTGGGTTGAATCACTTGATACTTCGATTCATGTTGACATACTGTACATAAATTGTACCAACAACGTTGTGAAGGGAGGTTGACTTGAGATAGTGGGATTCTTGGCTTGATTGTCGTTCTCTTCAGATGGGAGGTTGCTCAGATTTGTGTTGCTGCGTTGGAAAGCCCCTATGCATCTGGCAAGACATTTGAGGTCACAGCCCGACTTATGTCCCTTAAGTGTTGTGCCATTTAGTGAGCCATTTACAGTGGACCCTCAAAATCCAACCCCGTGAGAAAGACTAGAATGTTTACTTTAAAACTTTGAAAGATGGAAATCCTCGAACAAGATCCTGTACCAGTGTAATGTTTTGCATACATAGAGCTCTAATTTCAACCTTAACTCTGTAAGTATAATGGAGCTTAATATACTTCCATTTTCATCTGAGATAATTCTCTCAGCAATGAGTCAATGACTAATGAGAAGAAAATCTGTCAACATATATTAATTCTAACCACATACGCACTCCTTTCATGAATTGACAGAAGTTGCAAGGCCTATATATAATATATACTTTGTATCACACTTTACCCACAGAGAAACAACGGTCGGATGAGTTGTATATTACCAGAACATAAATTCAACTGGACTTGGTACAACTCAAGAGAAATGACCAACATATTAAACTTTTTTTAAAAAAATCATCTCTATTGTAGAGAATAAAACGAGTTAATCGACCGTCACATACTCAATATTTTGTTTAGTAGAAGCGTGATTGTGATTTAATTGCACAAACTAATTATTGTTATTTAGTGGGTTAAGTGGAATTCTGTGAGGGCTGAAGTTGTTAATAAGTAGTACTCTTAACCTAGTTTGATGTGTAAATTTAGCATCCAAAGCTTAACAAATTCAATAAGATGTGGGCAGATGTCCACAATTGGCCTCGAGTAGGTCCGCCAATGTTGAATTGATCGATGCACCACAATGTCGAACTCTCTTAAAATTGTGACAAACTTATCGTAAGAGTGATCACAAATTTTCATTTGCTAAGCTTGACTTGTTAACCTTTTTAACATCCCAATCAAAACATTAATATTTAATCTGTTTTGGAGTCCAAGTATGAGTATATATGGACCTTCTTCATCATCCATCAGATGGAAATTACATTACAATAAACTTATTATTCTGATGCATCACCAAAGTACAGTTTCCAATTTCCTTCTGGGCAGACTCAGACATAGATACAATCACCAAAACGTGCAACATGTACAAGAATAAGCACACTTTGTTTGCTAAATTCATGTTAAGAAAACATAAGATTTTGCAGTGCATTATATCAAACAAGTTGGCTTACTTGGATTAGTGACAACGATAAGGCCAACGCCATTGAAATCACAATTGTAGAGTCCATCGGTCTTATAGTAAAGATTCATGGAAAATCAGGGATGGTTTATGAGGGTATTTGGAAAGTAGCATGAACTGTGTTCTTGTATTTCACTGCATTCTTTTAATATTCCACAAGTGAAGTTTATGATGTTCTGTAATGCAGAGTATGGGGTTCCTGGCTTAGGCACACACCAAGTATCCTTCAAACCCAACACAGCATAATAGTAATTAATTAAGTTTAATTAAGCATTTGAAATGATTTTGATATAATTAAGATGATTTGAAATCTTGGTTTAAATTATACTGTTTGGATTTGAGTTACCTCCTTTTCCTGTGGCAGTGGAGGTCCTGATCCTCCTACAAATTTCAAAAGGGAAAGTGAAAGTAAAGTTATACAAATATTTTTGCATATGAAAATGTACAAAACTCATTATAGTTATAGGCACATACCACTCACAAATTGGCAGCTGGGATTGTAACCTGCAAAAATGGTATAGAACCAAAATGTTTAATTTGCTGAAAAAGAAAGTACAAATTATTATTATGAAATTGAAGGCCTACTTGGATCTGCCAAGGAAATGAGACTAGTATTGTTAAAATGACAATTCTATTGGTTTCTTCCCATCCTCTGGTAGTAAGCATTCATGGAAAATGAGGCATGGTGCACTGGCCTATCTGGGTCATAGCAAGAACCTCCTTTCTTTGTAGGGCTGCAATCCGCATAGTTACAGGCATAGTCCAGAGCTGACTGCAGTGCATGTTGTGGTGCTGCTGGCTTTGCCACACACCAAGCTTTCTACAATACCATGTATATATGTAAATTAATTGCTAATTCATTTAAGAATTGTTCTTTTTAATTCTTACCTGTCCATTCACCAACATCAAAATCTCCCCTGCAAAAAAAGAAAAGAACAAGAAAAAAGAAGCCATTGATGAACATATATAGGTGAAATGTAGAGAGAGAGCAGAAAAGGGGGAAAGAAATTACAAGAATGTGGAATGCTCTATAGAGTTGTTATAAAAAAAAACATCAACTTTGCAGCTTAAGAGTACACAAATCTCTCCCGTACCCGAGAAGAAGAACAGAAGCAGGAGAGAAATAACAGGACCTGGCAGAGCTAGCTTAGCCATTGCTGCTATGTTATACACAGTAGTCTAATTTCTATGGTTGACTAATTCATGAAGAGGAAGATGTGATATTTGTAGCAGTGCTGCAGGGGAGGACACATAATGATCATGCAAGAACAACTGAGTAACAATCTGATATGCTCCATTACAGTCAGACTGTATATAGGCAGGCATTTGTACTTTTGGGCCACCTGTTACACACAATAAATTGCTCGCCTCAGCTTCTTTGGTTTGGTTAAAACTTACAACCAAGGTTCAATTAATTCCAGTCTTCCCTATCATATAATTCCAAATTCAAGTTAAACAGAAATTTCAGAGAGTAAATTCAAATACCATTTTCCTTTTGGTCAGGCTCAGGCATAGATGCAATCACCAAAACCTGCAACACATGATCATGAACACTTCAATGGAGAAATTGATGGTAGGGAGCTTAGGCACTGATAAGAGTAGTTTAGGTCATTTTAAAAATAAAAAAAAAACTTTCGTAAAGCCGGTCGCCTATACTATTTTTAAAAAAAATAAAAAATTACGTATAGCCGAGCGGCTATACTAGAGGGACCCGCCTAGCCCCTGGACCGGCAACATGTGAAAACTAGTATCGCCGCACTTATAGCCGATCGGCTGTACTATTTTGGCTATACTATTTTGAAAAATGGGTGTATAGCCATGCGGCTATACGATTCATTATTAAAGAAATGTCAAACTCTTCCTTCAAAATTATAACAGGCCATATGAGTCCACGAACATTGCACTCACACCACACACACGTAGGAAACACATGGCTGCACGTACGAGAGAGAGAGAGAGAGAGAGAGAGAGAGAGATAGAGAGGAGTTTATGCAAAGTGTGAGAGGGTGGGGAGGAGGGATGGTGATGCGATGGGTTTTGGGTGGGCGGAGGAGGCTGCTGCGCAGTAAGGGTTTAAAGTTGTTAGAAGGGGCGGCAAGAAATGAGTAGAAAATCTGTCAACATATATTAATTCTCTCTCTCTCTCTCTCTCTCTCATTGCAGGTGTATATACTGGTAGCAGATGAAAAACAGAGGCTTCTACAAGAACATACATAAGCGACCAAGATTATAAAGTTCTGTAGGACAAATCTACATGACTTAAAATGGGTCTAGGAGGTGCTAGGCGGGTCTAGGAGGCGCTAGGCGGTGCTAGGCGGGTCTGGGCGGGTCTAGGCGGGTCAAGGCGGCGCCAGGCAGGTCTAGGCGGATTTGGGTGCCAGGGTGGGTCTGGTTCTTTTCTTTTGTTCTTTAAGCCTACTGCCTAGCGATTCTTCTTTGAAGCCGATATTTTCAGCAAGATCTGATGCACCACCTTTTGACCCCAGCAATATTGTGTCATTGTTTTTTCTGGTTCTTTCTTCAGGATAAGAATTTGATCACAGAGTGTGCGTAGGTGTGTTTTGGACAGTGGTGAGAGTTTCTTTTCAAGGAGGGTCCAAGCTTAGTATGCTGAAATGCAAGAGATTAGGAGGGTTTTGATAGAGGGAGGTGGGGTTGATTGAGCCATCCTCAAGCCTTTTAGCAAGATGATTTTCATTCTTCACGACATCCTCCAAGTCATGGATTTCCAGAGGACATCAAGTCTTTCACACATTACCTCTGTGGATATTGGAAGCAGTTATCGCAATGCATCAAGTCTTTCAGCAATTCGCATCCTGCTACTCTGAATTAATAAGAGACTAGTTTTAGAAACTAAACATATCCAAGAAAATCCATCCACTAATTTACAAACATCATAACTTGAGGTGAACAGAACAAGTAATGGTGTGTTGTCTGTCATTTGAATGGAAAATGGCATGAATCTTGACCAGTTCAGTTTATCTAGTCAAAGAATTTGGCTTACACGATCAGTTACAGCAGTTCTTTGTGTCGAAATGTGGCGAAGTGGTTGGGAATGAAAATCAGGTAAAGCCCTTCTTGCTCTTTGATCAACTTGAGAAACACTATCCTTTTTATCCCCATTATAAATTATCTGTCCTTGAAGTATGATACTGTACGAAGTATATCGCACAGCATTATCATGATAAAGTTCTCAAAAGTGAAAAACATTATAGTTGAATTTATTGATTGACGCAAGAGCAGCTGAATGTGAAATTAAAGAAAGTTGTTAAAAAATAACTTTACCTTGGCGTGAAGTTGATGTTGTGCATTCACAAGTTCGTCATTCACTGGCCTCAGACATCTCACCTGCTGAGAAAATTCAATGAAGGACCACAACAAGAGGAATTGGATGAACATATATACATATGACCACTAGGACAATTAATGCTGCAAAATACCCATTCTAGAGACAATCAGACAGGAAAGTTCTAACCATAAGTACAAACTTACCCAGAAATTGTTATGATCCATAGGTGTATTGAATATGTGGGAGATATTGAAGAAGGTTGGAATTGTGGCTGACATGGAAAGGATAGAATTTTGAGAGGTTTAAGAAATTTGGGAAGAGGTTTGAGAATTGACAGAAGAAGGGATAGGAGAGCCTTCATCGATGGCCATAGGAACTTTTGGATCGAGTCTTGAAGATATCTTGTTCCTAGGCTTGTCATACAATTTTCTAAATGGATCAATCTCAGAACATATTGGAAAATTGAAAGCTATCACAACTCTGGATTTATCAAACAACCAATTATCAGGTAGCATACCAAGCAGCATTGGGGGTCTTAAAAATGTGGTTCAACTCTCCTTCGCAAATAATAATTTACAAGGACCTATTCCTAGTTCCTTTGGGGAATTGACAAGCTTAAGAGACTTGGTTTTATCCAAAAACAATCTCTCTGGACTGATTTCAAAGTCTCTAGAAGCTCTCGTCCATCTCAAGTATCTGAATTTTTCTTTCAACATACTCCAAGGAGAAATTCCAACAGGAGGACCTTTTCAAAACCTCTCCTCTGAATCATTTGCCTTGAATAGTGCGCTCTGTGGTGCAGCCCGACTCCATGTTCCACCATGCAAAAATAATCCACATAAACCAAATTCAAGGAAAGCTAGTTCATCCAACCAGAAATATCTTATTCCACGGATCATATCAGCAAATCTCCTGGTGGCCTCTGTATCATTGTTAATACTACGAAGGAAAAGGAAAGTGGAAGTTGCAACAGAGACTGCCTTGTTACCTCAACTTCTTTGGAGAAGAGTTTCACACCTAAAACTTCTAAGGGCAACAAATGGATTTCATGAAAGCAACTTACTTGGCACTTGGGGTTTTGGCTCAGTATACAATGGCAAAATTTCAGATGGGATAGATGTTGCTGTTAAGGTTTTCAATTTACAGATTGAAGGGGCTTTCAAGAGTTTTGATAGTGAATGTGATGTGCTGAGCAATATTCGTCACCGAAATCTTATCAAAATCATCAGTTGTTGCAGTCAACCTGATTTCAAAGCCTTGGTACTACAATACATGCCTAATGGGAGCCTTGAGAAGTGGTTGTACTCTCAAAATCAAAACTCTCCTTTGAATAACCTACAAAGGTTGAATATAATGACAGAAGTTGCATCCGCATTGGAATACCTTCATCATGATCATGGTCCGAATCATGTTGTCCATTGTGATGTGAAGCCAGGCAACATACTACTTGATGATGATATAGTTGCACATGTTGTTGATTTTGGCATTGCAAGACTCTTAGGTGAAGGAGATTCTATGACCCAAACCATGACCCCTGCCACAATTGGGTATATGGCTCCAGGTGATTTACTGTTGCTTGTTTACTTTTCAATTTTATATATGTTGTCCTTCATTATGAACAAGGTGACCTTATGATTTTCTTTTAATCATTTCAACCAGAGATGCATATAGTTTCGGTCTTGTACTAATGGAGACGTTCACAAGAAGGAAGCCAACTGATGAAATGTTTGTTGGGGAGATGAATTTAAAGCAATGGATTGCAAATTCATTACTTCCGGATGCTGCAATTGTTGAAGTTGTTGATGCCGATTTACTTAGGACAAAGGAACATGGTGATTTTGTGAGGAGGAGGGATTGCTTATCATCCATTGTGAGATTAGCTCTCGCTTGTTGTGCACAATTGCCGAAAGAGAGGATTAACATGCAAGAAGCTCTGGTCACACTCAATAAAATCAAGATTAAGTTTATGCAAACATTCTGCATAAAGTCAACTCTCTGGCTGCTAGAAGACATAAATTGTTTATGAAGCTTACTATGGCATCACCGGAATTTATAGTTGAATATACATATTAGTTCAATTAAGAATTATTGGCCTCCAGTCATTCAAAAAATATGTTATATCTTAATATAATTTATTTATATTTTTCTTCAATATTATGTGAGAATTATGTGTATAATACATAAATTTTGTAAAAAAAATATGTGTATTAAACATGAAAAATATGTATTTACATGTACAATACAAGTATTGTACGTTTGCTTTTTTAAAAACGTGAATTTTTCCGAGTCTTTAAGATGTGTACAGAACACAGATGTATTATTGAAAAATGCATACGTACGTGTGTAATACAATATTAAACGTGAAAGTGCTAAATTCTTTATACGGGTAATAACTCTATAAAAGTAAAAAAAATAAAAAAGAGACAATGGAGACTCGGGTAATGGCCTAATAGTAATGGATAACGCTCTAAACTACTCATATCGATAAACGAAAATCACAATAAAAAAGAAAGAAAAAGACAAAGGGTAATTAAAGAGTATAGCCGCCCGGCTGTACGGTTTATATTTTAAAAAAAATCCTCCTATCTAATAACACCCACGTGTCAAAAACTGTATAGCCGACCGGCTGTACTATAGCCGTATCGCCGTGCGGCTGTACATACAAAACCTAGTATAGCCGTGCGGCTAAAACATTTTAAAAAATAAAAATAAAAACCAAGTATAGCCGGCCGGCTGTACTATGGATAAAAAACAAAAACCGCGTGTCAACACAAGTATAGCCGCTCGGCTAGACATATATTTTAGCCGTACGGCTATACGTTAAAAAAATAATAAATAGCGTAGTATAGCCGATCGGCTATACTAA